GTAGTAGTAGTAGTAGTAATACAGTATCGCCATTATTGTTGCTATAACTATTGTTGCCTTATATTGCCTATATTATTATGATATTATGACTATCACTGAACCATGACCAATTGCTAACCTTACTACCAAGTATCAATTCTTATTACAATGTTACTACGACAAGTACTACTATGACTATTACTAGTGTTATTTCACTTATGACATGCTTGCTACTAGTTCGACTGTTATTGTTATTGTTATTCGTAATATTAAATATTATCATTGTAGTATTATTTGTTTATCACTACTGTTATAACTATAGCTGATTTTATGACTGCTATTTCTCGTAGTACGGTTATTTCGACAATTTCTGTTGTCACCATCTTTATTGAAATTGCTATTATTGATGTTTATATATTTATATGTGTACATATATATATATGGTAACCCCCCATGAACTACTGACCCTCGTTTTGTATGGCACATGCCGTGTTAAACCAGTTTTTCCGGCAGGTCCGGATTCCATAGCTCTGAAAGACTGCCAAAACCAATTCACAGTTCAAGAGAACGCGCCAAGCAACTCGTTCAAGCTCGACGTGAGCACGCACTCAACGGCAACACTGTACTTTTCCAATCAAAAACCAACCGCCAAGCAACTCGTTTAGGCTCGACGTGAGCACGCACTTGACGGCAACACTGTACTCTTCCAATCAGAAACCACTGTGTCCCGGGGAAAACCAAAGCAAAAAAAAAAAAAAACATCTTTTGGGAAATTATACGGCCAGACTGCAAAAGATTGTGTTTTGGGTTTTCTTTAGGAAAAGGTTGTTTTCAATGCAAAAACCAAATTTTTCCTAGGAAAAAAGATGGTTTCGTTGTAAAACAATTAAACATTTCACAGGAAAAAGATGATTTTGGGCCGAAAACCCATTTTTCCCCACAGAAAAACAAAAAGCATTTTCTGAAACTATACGGCCAGACTCCAAAAAGATTGTTTCTTTTGGTTTTCTCTAGGACAAAGTTTGTTTTCATTGCAAAAATCAAATATTCCCTAGACAAAATGGTTTTGGAAAAAAGTGGTTGGGGGTTGACAAACCAACTCTTTCCTAGGAAAAAAGGGTCTTGGGCAAGAAAACCAAGTTTTTCCTATGGTCAACAACAATTTTTTTTGGAGTCTGTCCATAAAGTGTCCCAAAAGATTGCTTTTTGGTTTTCTTGAGGAAGGTTGGTTTTTCTGCCCAAAAACATCTTTCTTCTAGGAGACGGTTGGTTTTTTCGGCCCAAAACCATCTTTTTTCCTAGGGAAGCTTGGTATTTCATTCCAAGAAGCAAGGGGTGTGCGTTGCGATTTAGTGTTGCCATTAAAGTTCGTCGAGTGTCATCACTATTGGGATTCGATTCCGCTTTGCATTAATACTATACAGTATGTAATAACCAGAACATAGTCTTGGGGTAATTAGGGAGCCAGTACTGCAGGTTTAATACAGACCAGGACCCAGGATATCAGGGTTATCACAGCTACCACTACGATTCCTTCTAGCTGACTAAGGTTGTAGCTTGAGAAACAGAAACATCGGGGTCAGATTATGGGTAGTACGAAGCCTGCTATGGATGGCCTTAGTGCTGATGTCAGGCGAATACCATTGACATATGGGCGAATGACAAGGATAGGGTTAGGGTTGATGTTGTTTGGAATCAGGGGTCAATTAACGATTGTCGTCATTATGTTGGTATCTAGTACAGGTTTTACCTGGGCGTTAGCATGTGTATATACACACATAAATGTACATACACGCACACGGGCAAGTCCGACAACAAGTCAAAAACAGTACGATGAGGTAAACAAATGCTGGTATCATCCCCAAAATCTAAGGGCCATCATTTGGGCAACGCCAAGCGAAGACAGCAAGGATCGTGGCTCTTGATGGGTATCGTTTTGTGTAGTTTAATATTGGCATGAACGTGACGGCTACCGCGGAAGTGAATGTTAGGCAAGTCTTTAGCTTGCCTGTATTCATATTAACAATAAGTAATATTAAGGGTGCCAGGACGTTGAACTCCGGGGACTTGAATGCTCGTGCTAGGGATCCCTCAGCTACATCAGGATGAACTAACCTGTTGATGACGCCAATGGTCGGGGTTCCCCTTAAAGCCATCTTTTGGGTTGGTGTTGAGGGAAGTATTTTGGCGTCATATCCATTATCAGGATTGCCGAGGCGACTGCAATATAAATATATATATATATCCTTACTATCGGGAGGCCAATCAGGCTGATGTATGTCAATATGTTAGTTAACCTTCAGGTCGCTATGGGAGTCAAAAAAGGAATGTATAATGGGATTCAATCGACATAGCATTTTAATGTTAGTCCACATGAATTAAGACGTGAATCTATAAGGATTCTCTTTTGGGTGAACATGAAATAGAAGACTACTGTCACCATTGGGGCCAATGTAAGGTCCAAAAGCAGGGTTAGTGTTAGGGATGCTGTTGTTTAGGAATAGGAATAGGAGGACGGTCGTTCATACGTATTGCTGGGGCTTTGATCTGAGACTACAGTGAAGTCTACTTTGACAGAAATGACTTTCATCGTTGGAAAAAATCATCTGTCGGAGTATTTGCGTGAAGGGTCGCAAGAATTCATGATGAAGGCTTCTGCCGATATACATATGTTGTCTCCTCGGAACTTCAAAACCTAACGTTAAACATGGATCATACACCAGAAGTTTAAACGCAGGCGGATCGGTGGCGCTATCGCGGCACCTCGCGGTAGTTCTTAGGCAGGGGTTAGCAGACATACATATATGTATGTGTATATATATATATATTTATATTTATATTTATTTATTTGTTTATTTATGTGTGTGTGGATGTTACAGTGGCATCCTGTTTGCAAAACAGGTGAGGGGCTGGCCCCTACCACCCCCGGCCCCCTCCTGCACGTTTTTAAGCCGCAGCCCCCCAACACCCTCTCCCCCGCTTTCTTCTTGAGACTTGCAAGCTCGCCTGCAAGAACATCGCGCCGCCAAAGAGATTGCGTCAAGCAGGTAACTCAAGCAGAACCTTTTAAATCCAACATACAGGCAGTCCGTTTGCAAATGAGGGGGTTGTACCCCCTTCCCGGTTTTCAAATAACATCCTGCCAGCAAAAACAGAACCCATATGGACCCTTTCAGAACCCATCATACAGACACTGTGCATGCAAGTGCGGGCTTGCTGCGCCTCCTTTGCGTGTCGTGCGCGCCCTGCGCCTTGCCGCGTGCTTCTTCTTCTTCTACTACTACTACTACTCCTACTGCTGCTACTGCTACTGCTACTACTGCCTCTTCTTCTTCCAGTGCTTTGCAGCCTAGGGCCGTATGGAACTGCCAAAGCAAGTTCTAAGCTGGTACAGTCTTCGTGAAAGAATGGTTTCAGCGGTCCAGGGCTACAAGCTATGCAAATAAACGGAAGATCTACCACCGTCCGATGGCCACCGTCGGAACAGTGACGGTGGGACTGCCCATGTTCTTGAACAACTCAAAGGGATGTCCGCAACTGGGTCTTGGGTTTCACGACTTGGAAAGTGCCGACACGCTGTTGCAGGCTATGTGCTGGAGCTGTGCTGAGCAAGTTCGACTGCGAGGAAAGATGCCGAGTTAGCGTGCCACATCTTTCTGTCAAGAATGGCAGACTTGGAAAGCTGGGCGATTGAAGGACTCGGGTGCCCTGTGTGTCGAGCTCCGATTTCCGCAGCCATGCGGGCCGCTCGCTTGCAAAGACCAGCGGTATGACAGGGGTGCGCTGTCTCGAAAGCTAACATTCCCTGCTTTTTCATACCAAGGTCTTTGATTCTTGCCGGGCTCCTAGACAAGATGTTGTGCTATCCAAGACGCCGATGTTTGGTAGCCGCGAAGCAGTCCTGCCGGCAGGAACAGCTGTCACGCCGCAAGAAGCGGCTGTGCTCGCACAACTCGTCCAATTGAGACCCAAAAGTTGCCGCTGCAATGGATGTCGCATTAATTGGCCTGTTGTGTGTCGGACAGAGAGAAATTTTCACATCATGCTGATGAGCGCTACTTGCAGGGCGCCCTGCTTTCCAGACTGATAGAGGCCTGATGCATTGCTCATTTGCAGCGTGATAACATGTGCGCAGCTGGTTGTCTCCGGAACACGCTGCTGCTCGCAGCAGAGAGCCAGGAACACCTTCAAGGTTTGCTTTTGTGAAGATTATGCATCTGAGAACTTGCAAATGCAACATCCGTTACTCAAAGGAAAAGATCTCGAAGTGTGGGTTGGACGAGCTCGCGAGCAAAGCTCAATCCATGCACGCTCACTGACAGCGGTTTGCAGTCAATCTCGAAGGCCCGAAACCTTCGACAAGAAATGTCAATCGTATAACCGACGATAGCGACAACACCGCGAGCAGCTGTAATGAAATTGGTTCCGTGCTTCGTCCATGAGCACTGGAAACTGACGACTGGATGATTTCCTACCAGCCGTGCAGACAGGCACCAATATACATGCAGTCGATTGTGATCGGAGGTGCACTATTCGATGAAGGCAGGATGAATCTGGTGGAACTGTCGATCGGCCCATCGGCACCCGATCGGCACAGGCTTCGTCAAGGATTCTTTGTTTGAACGTGCAACTTCGCCTTCAACTCCTTCAATTTCGGCCCATGCACCTTTGCCTACCTGGCATGTTTCCACATACTTTCACGAAGTCGCCGGAGCATTTGCTCTCCAGGTTCTGCTACACGCGCATTCCGTTTCAATCCTCTCGGGAGGCCGGCAGCTGGGAGCAGTAGAAGCCACGCAGAGAAACTCGAAAGCTTCAAGGTTTTGATAATCAAGTCTTGTCTTGTTCCAGTTGACTTAACGAACAGGCCGAAGTGGAAAGTGGACATGTGCAGTGGATGGAAATGGCATGCATGCTAGTCATTGGCCTGTTGAAGCAGCGATGTTTCTGCCAATTGCTCATCTTTGCTCTCACTCCAGTACGCCAGAGATCGCCAGAGACCTGTAAGCAGAAAACATCTGGTGGTTTCGGCATTCATTTCACACGGTGTCTCACCCACGCGATTGGTGACGCGGTGTGTTGGGTTTGATCTTGCCTGCGGATCTGCAACAGCTTGTTACCCCCTAGAAGCTTGTATCCGTGCACTGCCTCTCATGGCATCGTGTGGCGTCTGCCATGCATCGCTGCAAGATCCGCCTTCCATATAGTTGCTCACATGTCAACTCAGTGCTTCAGTGCTGGCTTCCATTCGATTCTGCTGACTGCGTGGAGTGGATCCTCGCAGTTCTTGATGTCCAGGCAGCAGAAGCAATCGAGGCTGATTGCAAGGCATTGGGCATCGGACACTGTCGGATACTCTGCCACTGGGGAGTTTCAAGATAGTGTGAGGTGTCCACTGCCGGTCTAAGCATTGTTTGGGCCGCCACTGACATGCCGAGTGCACCCCCACACTTTCGTGGCATCCGCCTGTCTTTTCTTGCAGAGAGGTACCAAAACATCAGACTTGGTCGGCTTGCCAAGAAGGCTCACTTACTGCAGATCTTGCATGCCAGCATCGCTGCAGCATTCGGAGCCGCGTTTCAAAACTCAGGTCGATTTCCAACAAGACGTCGGGCTTCTATGACATTCTCATCGGGCAGGGCGCCCAGGGCCCGCCGTCCTCGAGGTACACCTTTTTCCCGGTCCTCTCAAGCAAGGGTTCTTTGGACAGAGGCACACTGGACAGCGACAAGGGCTTCGAAGTGACCACGTGCGTAGGAATGATCTCCAGGCAGGGGCGTGGGTTTTACATGCTGCACGCTGGTTTCAGAAGAAAGTTCTCCACAGAGGCTCCTACCAGCTGGGCCTGGTCCCAAATCCACAGCGATCCGCTGCGATCCGCTGTCTTTGCGGTTTCCGAGGTGTCTCCACTCTGCAAGAAACTCATGGCGCAGGAGCCTGCTGCTGGTCCACTTTGCGTTTCGCCCGGTCGGGTAGCATGAGCAGCACCCTTAGAGAGAAAATTATCTGTCTCATCAACCTTTTAGTGGAGGCCTTGTTTTCACATTCCGCGACATCCTGAAAATCTCGAGAGTCGCTTTGCTTCGACAGTGCTTCGCTTCACGTCTGCTCTCAGGCCCCGTGCTCGCTGTCATGCATACCTTGTAGGGTTCTCGAACTTCCAACCTCACTTCGCTCCTCTCCGTTTCGGTAGCCTATGCAGCTCGAGATCCGGCACAGCGGCAGTGAGTGCTCCAATTTAAACGCTTAACCTTCGCTTGGACTGGAAACAAGGGTTGAGCTTTGCACCAGTTTCTTTGGTGCGTCCATGGCACGCTCACATTGATACGGCTGCACCGCATGTTCGATTGATGTTGGCCGAATCGAAGGTTAGGCCCTCACTGCAAGTCCTTGGATGCAGTGTTGCCGGACTGACGGAAAATCGGATCTTTGTTCAATGTCTACGTTTTCTGAGCAGACATGACTCACTCAGACATGCCATGTCCAGTAAAGCCCCGTTTCTGTTTGCGAGGTTCGGAAGGGATTGTTTGCTTCCCTCCGCCTTGCAATGCTTTTGTGTGCTGCTTTCGTCGCCGTCGATCTTGCAACCCTCGACATTAGCTCGACCAAATTGCCTGCGTCGTGCCCATCGCTTCTTGTAGAGACTGCTTTGCAGCACACTGCACATTTGGCTCCTGGTAGTTGCCAGGACATGCTGCATGCTGTCTTGCTGATGCTCCAATCTGAAGAGGCCGCTGGAGTGGAAGGAGTCCGGGAGTGCTCGGTTCAGAGCCCTGCCAGAGGCCTTGGTGAGCTGGCTCTCCACTGAGACCTCTGCCTCTGGCAACCCAGCAAAACGGCGACGTCTCGGCCAGGCACACTCTGACGAGGACTGCGCAAGCGGCTCCACTAGATTCTCACGAGATCCCGATGATTTGCACACTGGTTCACATGCAGCGCCAATGCAACAACATGTTGAAATGCTGCTATTTTCAGACTCGAAGAGCTGCGCCTAGGCAGCTAGGATCTCACTGAAATCTCCTGCGCTTATGCCACGCGTTGTGCAGCGAATGAGAGACTTTGAGCAAAATGATGATTGTCATAGGGTCTTACTACAGAAGTACTGGTAGTGGTGTGAAGGCCCTGATTTTGCGAAAGGTTTCCATTGCGTGTGCTTGCGTTCTCTTGAGCGATGACCTTGCCGATTGCCGACCTCACACAGAGATGCCGAGCTGAAACTCGCAGTCAGCCTGCAGATGCAGAGCGGAAAAATGAGACTTTCGTGAGCGCATGGCACCCATTGGTACTGAACGCCCGATCTAGATTTCGCATGCTCCCCCTCGAAAATTATTGTTTTTGGACAGCGTTCTGGTTTGAGCCTGGCGACCTGCAGCTGAGACCAGAAATCAGTGGTTGTGACCCTGCCCAATGATGTCACGTTCAGGACACCACGCTGGTTCACTACCCGACGCAGCTGACCTATGGCTGTTCTCGAAGCTAAGAACTGGTGCTCGGACTTAGTCGTGCTTTGGGAGCGAGGTATGCTTGGTTCAAGGAGGCGGCCACCTCTGCAACCTACCGATCGTCAAGGCGTGGGGGTGCAGGGCACATGGCTCAACTTTGACCCTCGCAGCACCGAGGACAAGGTTTCACTCCGTCGAGCCTTTCGCGCATTGGTCTCGCAAGTGTCAGCCTTAAATTTGACGATCCGAGCTTTGCACATTACACAACCGAACAGACGACTCCAGGCAGAGACTTGTTTTCCTGAGCGAGATGAAGGGCGTAGATGCGCTGGGAACCGAATTGCGTTTGCGATTCTTCGTTTAAGGTATGCTCCAGCTCATGTGCGCATGCTGCAAGACCGAGGTTTGAAGTGGAGGTCTCTAAGACGGATGCCTGCGCAAAAATGCCAGAGTGCTGCTGTCCACTGGCTCTCGCATCTAGCTCAGTTTGCTGAAGACATCGTACGTTTTGTGGGAGGGATTGCCAAAACACCACACAGGCACAGCCAGTGGCTGCCGTCGGGAGTGAGAGTGGTGCTCCTGTGCCTATACCAGAGGAAAACCTGTCTCTACCATCAGCTCATTCGTTTATATTCGTTTGCTTTGTCAACTTGTGCATTTTGGTAGCATGCAGCACAGCGGCATCGGAACTCTTCCATGCATCTCGTGAGCATTGGCTACGGAATTGCTAAATCTTGGTGAGGGCCATGGCGTTTGTGAAAGTGCTGAAGAATGCGGCCTACTTCAAGAGGTTCCAGGTGGCGCGGCGGCGGCGGCGAGAGGGGAAGACGGACTACCATGCTCGCAGGAAGATGGTTCGCCAGGACAAGAATAAGTTCAACAATCGGAAGTATCGCTTGGTGGTTCGTTTTTCCAACAGACGGTGCATCTGCCAGTGCGCGTATGCGACTCTGAGGGGGGATGTAGTGGTTGCAGCAGCTTCTTCCAACGAGCTCGCTGCCTTTGGCATCCCTGCCGGCCATAAGAACTATGCGGCGGCTTACGCTACCGGGCTTCTGTTGGCCCGGCGAGTCCTGAAGCGGTTCGGCTTGGATGAGAAGTTCAAGGGAAAGGAGGAGCTCGATGGTGAGGACTACCACATCGAAGATGAAGACAACGAGCAGCGGCCTTTCAAGTGCATTCTGGATGTTGGGATCCGCCGAACTTGCGTTGGCCATCGAATGTGGGGAGCGCTGAAGGGTGCAGTTGATGGTGGCCTTCACATCCCTCATAGCACGAAAAACTTCCCTGGATTTAAAGCAGCAGATGAAAAGGGCGGCGAGTCCGAGTACGATGCTGAGGCTCACAAGGAGAAGATTTTCGGCAACCATGCCCGAGGCTTAGATTGTGCGTAG